TAACACAGTGGTATCACTATGCATCTTATATATGATTATGTATCACAATGTATCTTTTGTTTAACATAGTCAATATTTTTAGGTATCACAGTGGTATCATAGTGGTATCACCGGAGGACGGTGGCCGGAGGCCGGAGAACGGTGGCCGAAGAGAGAAGAGAGGAGAGAGGAGAGTTTTAAAATACCAAAAATATACTTGCATTAAGATTTTAATTTAAAATTACCAAATTTATAAATAATCCTAATTTATCTATTGATTTGTGGTTAATATTGGTTCTCACAGTTACCACAAACAACTCAGTTCTCCCTTGAATAGGCCCCTATATATATATATATATATATATATATATATATATGTTATTTCGATTCAAGACTCTTAAAAATGATATATAACCACAACTCCAAATTAAGCGTATGGGTGCTCAAGATAGAACCACATTTAGCATCATCAACTGATCTGATTTACGACAATACAAAAAAGAAACCCTAGATATCTCCGATTAACCTTTGATTAGATTCATTTAGTATCTGTTGAATCGGATTTGGTGTCAGTGCTTACTATATCTATCAGATTATCTAAAGATGGCATGAATCACACAAAAGAAAGAAACGTTTATGAGATGTCTTTTCATACTTTTGTGCTTTTACTCTGATTGATAAACAAAACCGGAGTAGAAACAGGGTTTCTAAAACCCATGTCTGCTTCCAAATTCCTGCATAATTTTGTTTTTGTTTTCACTGTAACACTAGATGTGTACCATGCAATGCAAAAAGTTTCATATAAAAATCCAAGTTCAAACCCAATGAGGAATAAAAATCCCCTTGCGGCTATGGAGATTCAAATGCGATGACTTCAGGGTATATGCAAAGCAAGTGGTTGTTGGGATTAGTCGGCTATCATAGCGGGTTGGATATCCAGGTTAATAAAAAAAAAGGTTTCATATATTTTTATGTTGCGTTTGGTATCTAGATATGACCATTTATACAAAAAAAATTATAATGAAAATGAAAAATAAATTGAGGGGCTGTTTGACAATTGCTGAGTGGTTTGATGCAGAATGATTAAGTGGTCAAAATGATTAAGAGACTCTCATGATATAGTGCAAAATGAAATATAATTGTTTGGTAATTGTGTACAATGAAATTAAGGATCTTAATGGTTAAGGGAGATCCAATATACAAAATCATTCAGATGGTTTTAGAACCATTAAAAAGCAGACTTTTATTTTGTCAAACAAAATTGACCTCTTAATATTATAGAGATTACCTCTTAATAAAACTATTAAGAAATAAACAAACAACTCCCGACCGATACTTTTTGTATTTATGATAAAATAATAAAGTAGTAATTATCACCAAGAGGACCCGTATCCAGAAAAGCCATACCATATATTCGGATCCATAGTCATTCTTCCCCTTTATACCCACTCTTCTGCTAATTCTCTCCCCCACAACCATCCTCCATAGCCGTCGCAGACCTCCATTGAAACACAGGTATTTACTTTCTCAAACATTAATGCATTCCAAGCCTCTAAATTTAATTCTCTCTCTCTCTCTGTGTTTATATATATATATATATATATATATATATATAGTCGTATGTACGCACAAAGATACTCATCTTATTCAATTCGCGTTGTATGTATGAATCATTTGCCCTAATTGTTGGTGAATCTCGATACGGGGTACTGAGACTGGTTTTGTTCGATTTAGTATGTTCATCAATCAATAATTTCAATTTTAGGGTTTGTCTCCTTGAGGTAACAATGTAATTTAGACGGGAGTAAGGTTAGATTCTGTGGAATTTGTGTAATTCATGGTTTGATTTTTATCTATGAAGCAGACATTAGTAAAACATAGTTTTTTAGCTTGTTATTTGCATTCGTATGTAGAGCTGCTTCGTTGTAACTTGTTTGATTCTCTGTATATTGCTACATGGCTTCTGTAACACTTAGGGTTCGTTGTTAAATGGGTATCAGCTTGTGAATAATAGAGTGGTATGAGGGGATATAGAGGGATTCTTTGGATCTAAGAATTTTAGAATTGGTGGTACCTTGATTGGGTATATACATAAATAGTTAGACATACAATATAAGAAATTTTATTGGAGATGTATTGATCCTATATTAAATACTTAAACTAGTCCCGTGACGGAAAGAGGGAAACGGACTACCGCTTTGGCGTGCTCGGCTTCCTAAATAGAGAAAAGAAGTAGCTACCTTTTGGATTAGAAATTTGGGACCCTATTTCTTCTTTGTTTTTGGGAAAATTACGATTATGATCCTGTATTAGTTTCCAAATGTTGATGGAAGGTGGTATCCGTTGGTCCTAGTTGGGTAATGACTAATATAGAAAGAAGGGGGGTTGAATACATATACATCAAAATTTTCAAGTTTAATTCTGTATGTTTTTATAAAAACAAAGAATTACATATTGTTGCAGAAACTAGGAAGGAAAGACCTAACTTAAACAATCTTTTAAGGATATTTGTAAGTACTAATTAATTTTCTTTTTCTTCCTTAAATGGGAATGGGCGTTTTATGGTCATCGTCGTTATACTGTATGTCCGCTGGTTTTATGTTCTCTACCGATCAGCTCTTAGTTGGGAATGAAATATCTTGTCGATCAAGAAAAACATTATTTTTATATGATAAAACTTAATTGATGATTTATGTTTTCCATTGCAGCAGATTGATTTGCCATCATGTCTTGGTGCACCATTGAATCTGATCCCGGTATGCTTCCTTATTCTCATTTCTCCATACATACATAGTGTCGTTGGTCCAAATTCAATGCAAGTTGTTTAGCATCGTTGGATTTACGAAGTCTTGAACACTTGGGGACATTTTCAATGACAGAACCTTGAAAAGTTTATGTATCCATGCCATGAAGCAGTATTGCTGAGGGGCTACAGAAAAATCTGAACTTGTATTTTTCATGAATACAAGTTCGAGAATTATTCTTTGAGAATATTAGAGAGATAAAAGAAGAGAACATATGTAGATTGTAAGAATGATTGTTTCAGATGTTATTTCTGTATGTCAAATCCGAGATTCTAGCAAGTGTTGATATATCAGATATTTTTGGGCCAAAGATTGATTACCGGCAACCCTGACTGGCCCCACATAGAACCTGCCCCCTAAGAACCACATGCGAGGAGGCATTTCAAAGCTAACTCAGCGCCTGAGGCTAGCGGAGGGGTTCAAGCCCGTCTCCTGTAGGATTTGAACTTGGACCTATTGGTATTTGAGCAAAGTCGCTCTGCCCCTTTGCCAATCGAGCTACACGTCTGAGGGCATTAATATATCAGATATTCGGAATGTGGTGTTTCTCAAAGATCAGATTTTTTCATCGTAAAGAGCAAATCAAAAGTCGTATGTTTTGAAATAAGATAGTTTCCCAAGAGTTAGAAGCGGCTTTTGGAGAAAGCTAGTCGGCAGAGAAGTTTCGAACACATATTTGAATTTAATATGCACTTTTTAAGTTGCATCTACAATTCTACACTCGGAATAATGATTGTTTTCAATATGGTGTGGTTTTGTTGGCTTCCACAGAGTTGAATCATCAACTAGATTACTTGTTTTCCATATATCCATACTAATCTGAACATTTCATCTGACAAGAAACTGAACTTGCTTCATATTTCATTGCACCTATCTCTTTTATTGATTTTGGTTTTCGAGTTCGGTCGATACTAATTGAAACCGCATCTTCTCTAGGTGTTTTTACTGAACTTATACAACAAATGCAAGTAAAAGGCGTGCAGGTATTGTTTTACATGGATGATATTCTTCTATGTTCTACTCCCTTTGTTTGACAGCGAAGATCCTTATTTGTTCTCGAGTGTCAAACCTTGTACTTTCCAACCAAAATTTTTACGTATCTATATTTATAATGCCATTTTTTTTCAATGTTTTTTGTAAATGTTTGATAAAGCTGTCAATTTGTATAAATGAAAAACTAAAACTAAATAAGTTATGAATTTTGAAGAAAATTTTGGTTGACAAAGTCGAGGTAAATTGCTAATCATGGAACGGAGGGAGTGTTAGGGGCTGCTTACCGGGTAAGCGCTTATAAGCAAGAGTCATCATCCTTACTTACGTCATCGGGCATTCCCGGCCATCAAAAGGGATTGTTGGTAAGAGTCTATCACCCGGTAAGCGTTTACTGAGTAAGAGTCACCACCCTCACTTACTGGGCAAGTCTCTCGATCCTTGCCTTGCCTTGCCTCTTACCGGGTAAGATTCTCAGTCTTTGCTATGCTCAGTCGGTAAGGTAAGTGACCCGGTAAGTGTTTGGTAAACGTCCCCTTGGTTAGGACCTGGATTGATGTGTCTTGATTTTGTCATGATAACAGTGAATATATAGTCTGGAAGTTCTAACTTTGATTGGTTAAGCAGGTCGAGGAATTATATTCTTTGGATATCGATTCGCTAAACAGTCTTAGGTAAACTATTCATCCTTTTTTATGCTTCTGCTTGTGCTTTTTAATGCGTTAGCTGTTCACGTTCTTCACATACCCGCGTGCAAAATCTCATCTTCATATTTTTTCTTGAATCTTAAATTTGCAGGCCGGTTTATGGGTTGATATTCCTATTTAAATGGCGTGCGGGTGAGAAAGACGAGCGTCTTGTAATCAAAGATCCAAATCCGAATTTGTTTTTTGCTAGCCAGGTCAGTTTCACCGACATTTTATCATAAAGAAGATGGTAAATGGTGGATGCACAAATTTTCAGCAGTGTGCATATCTTCACATGATACAGCCGTACAACTATTTCATGTCGGATACGAGTACTGCTGAAAATTCTGACCATTTACTCCCCCAATTTTATTAGGGCACGTGTTATATGCTGGACGGGATAGGACAAAAACTTGTCTCGCATTTGACATGACATTAAACCGGGACAGTACAGAGCGGGATAAAATGCATTTTTTTGGAACAATCTTGGTACATTGCTAATTACCCGTATTAAATTAAAACCCTAAAACCTTTGGGAATTCTTTCATCTGCCTACTTCACCTTTGCCTCTCTTGTCCCGTCTGCATAACAAAAGCTCTCTTAGACTTGAAATCACCATTATTAGCTTTGGAAATCGGGATTTACGTTACTTCTAACGATTCTATTCAGGTTATTAACAATGCATGTGCTACTCAAGCGATTCTCTCCATTCTTATGAACTGTCCGGAAGTCGATATCGGGCCTGAGTTATCAGCACTGAAAGAATTCACCAAAAATTTCCCTCCCGAGCTTAAAGGGCTCGCGATTAACAACAGTGAAGCCATCCGAACCGCCCACAATAGTTTCGCAAGGCCCGAGCCTTTTGTTCCCGAAGAACAGAAATCTGCTGGAAAAGATGACGACGTCTATCATTTCATAAGCTACATACCCGTAGACGGTGTGCTTTACGAGCTTGACGGCTTGAAAGAGGGACCCATTAGCCTGGGCCAATGTTCAGGTGGTCAAGGTGATCTGGACTGGCTCAAGTTGGTGCAGCCTGTGATTCAAGAAAGAATTGAAAGGTATTCACAGAACGAGATACGGTTCAACCTCATGGCCATAATCAAGAACCGGAAAGAGATGTATACGGCTGAGCTCAAAGAACTGCAGCGGAGGAGAGAGCGGCTGCTGCAGCAGCTGTCGACGGTGCAGACGGATGGCGGCAACGTGGAGGCRCTGAACAAGTCGCTTTTGGAAGTGAATGCTTGGATCGAGGGGGCGACTGAGAAGATTCTGGTGGAGGAAGAGAAGTTCAAGAAGTGGAGAACGGAAAATATCCGAAGGAAACACAATTACATACCGTTTTTGTTCAATTTCTTGAAGATTCTGGCGGAGAAGAAGCAGTTGAGACCGCTGATCGAAAAGGCGAAGCAGAAAACGAGCAACCCGAGGTAAGTTTCGAGGTTTTCGGTTTTTGATATGAATTATGTTCATGATGTTGGTATTTTGAAAAGGATGTTGTAATTTAGGCAAAACTTGTGTTTGGATTGTCATACGGAGGTTGATAATGTTGAATTATATGCTAGTAACTTTTTGATGATTTATTTATTTGGGAAAAAGTTGATTACCGACAACCCCAACCGACTCCATACGGTTTCCGTCTCCAAGGACACCAATGTGAAGCGGCATTTATTGGCTCACTTGGCGGCCAAGGCTAGCAGGGGCATCAGAATCGAACCCGGAACCTGTTTTGTATTTGTACAAAATAATCCCGTCCTTTTACCGTATGTTTCTTTATGTTTACGTGATTATCTGGTGTGGGTTCGTGTGTTGGGATGGGATCGGATGGGTGCCGGTCCCAGGTAGGGTGCAGCAGGTCCAGGCTTTTTGGGCCTGGGCTAGGCAGGCTTTGATTGCGAATATAGGCCCAACCAGTCTTTTTTAGGTCGGGTTTTTTCAAGCTTTAAAGAAAAAACTTTGGCTGGTTGGGCATTTAGACGTGGCCCTTACCTGGGTTTCAAGCTTTTTATGCGTCTCTAGTTTTAGGGGTGTGCTGCAACAACCCCAACCGGTCCCCATTTTCGGTCCCATAACTGGTCCTAGGCCGGGCCGGTCTTTTGCCTATCCCGGTCCCCGTCCTCCGGCGGTCTCGGGCCGATTTGGCCATCACTAGGTGTGCATTGATTGGAACATGACGGAACTGGACCGGATTGTAGCCGGAAAATAAAAATATTATTATTATTATTGTAATAATATTATTATTAGTAATGTTAAAAAGTACCATTATTTTTTCTTTAAAACATCATTTTAAGCTAATTTAGGGGTAATTTATCAAACTTTTACTGGGTCATTTACCTTATTGGATGAGAATGTGAAGGACCAAGAATCTTATTCAGTAAAATGTATAGTAAGCATCGAGAATCTTACCCAATAAATGTTTAACAAATAAAAAACAGTCACCAAGAAATATATTAGGGTTCCGCTCTTATCTTAGCTCCAGCTTCAGCAATTTCATCAGCTCAGGCTCGAAGACCCCTGGTTCTGGAAGGCACATGAGTCCGAACACTATGGTTCCCGGTTCACACCAGCACTTCCTTTCGATCTACTAGGACATACCCCGCAATCAATACAGATAATGTTAATACAAATTGTACATGTTCGAAACATATAAATTGTTTCAAAAACTTTATTATGATTAAACTCAAATACTTGATCTGCAGTATTTTTGTAGTAAACCGTGGAAATATCAAATTCAAATATATGATTTCCATTCAACAATTTTTGGTTTTCTGAAAATGTAATCGTAATTAAACCGATTTATGGTTTTTCTATTTACAAAATAAAATGTTTAATTTTATTTTTAATGATTATTTAATTATTAAGTAATTAAAATATATTAATTATGATTAATCATCATGAAGACAGTTTGGCCGAGTGGTCTAAGGCGCCAGATTTAGGCTCTGGTCCGAAAGGGCGTGGGTTCAAATCCCACAGCTGTCATTTTTCTCCCAACAAAATCAAACCATTTTTTTTAATGAAGGGTTCCGACATTAATTAATGTGTAAATTACGTTTTAAGTCCCTGTGATTGTTAAAATTTACGATTTTTGTCTTTGTAATTTAGAAGTTACAATTTTCATCCCTGTAGTTTGTAATTTATTGGTATTTTCGTCTTTATGATTTACAGTTTTTTTTTTCCCCTTATGATTTAAACCTCTTTACTCTTTTGGTCCGTACATAAAAGGTAGAAATTAATTCGTAATTTAGAAATTACGGTTTTCATCCTTATAGTTTGTATTTGTTGCTATTTTCGTCTTTATGATTCATAGTTTATTGTTGTTTTGTTTCTTGTGATTTACAACTCTTTACTCTTTTGGTCCGTACTTAAAGAGTAGGAATTAATTTAAGGGTCGTTTACTAAACGTTTATCTGGGTAAGTGTTTACCAAGTAACATTACCTTACCGGATGAATATAGTAAGGACCAATAATCTTACCCGATAAGAACGAGACAAAGATCAAAAATCTTACCCGATAAGTGAGAGCGACGACTTTTACTATGATAAGCGCTTACCGGATAAATTGTTGTATACTATGTCGTTTTGATAAACTAAAATCTTACCCGGTAAGTACATAATAGTGTTAAATTTTACTGGTAAGCGCTTACCGGGTAATGTTTGATAAACGGCTCCTTAGAGATGAAAATTACAATAAATTACAAACCATAGATATGGAAATCGAAATTATTAACAAACCACATGAACAAAAATTGTAATTTACTCTTGATTAAATGGTTATGAACTTGTTTCATCAACAATGATTTTGTTAAGAAACTATTTTGCATTATGTTCCATTAAGAGACAACATCTTAATCATTAAGAGGTGAATGGCAAAAAAAAGTTTGTTTTTTAATGGTTCTAAATTCTCTAAATGATTTTGTATTATTGAGTCTCCCTTAGCTATTAAGCACCTACTCATTGCAAATAATTACCAAACAATTATATTTCATTTTACACTATATCATGAGAGTCTTTTAATCATTCTGATCATTTAGGTTGTTTGTTTACCTCTTAATAGTTCCATTAAGAGACAGTTTCAGAATCATTAAGAGATGAATTTTGTTTGACAAAAAAAAAGTCTCTTAATGGTTCTAAAAGTCTTTGAATGATTTTGTATCATGAGTCTTCCTTTAACCATTCAACGCCCTACTTTCATTGTAAATAATTACCAAACAATTATATTTCATTTTGTATTATATCATTGTAATCATTCTGACAATTAAATTATTATGCACCAAACCATTCTGCAACCTGCATATTATCCAGTTAATAATTTATTACAAGTTTATTTGTGCAATACATTATTATTTGATTTTATTCTATAAATCTTTGTGGTCTTAAACAGTATTAGTATGACTTAAAACGTATATTGTATTTGAATATGTAAATTATTTGATTGAGTTAGTTTTATAAAATTATGATGCATTAAAAAGTTGTACCTATATAACAATAAATTGTAATTATTATATAATATATATATTTAAAATAGTATATTATTATATAAATATTAGAAGAATGTTCGCATAATATAGCGAGATATATCTTAAATTTAATATTTTATTTTGTTATTTATCTATGTCGATATAATACGGTTTTTAGTGGTTTTGAGAAAGCGATAGTGCTTTTATATTTGAACAAAATACAAATTTTAATATATCATAAAATTTTGAAAAAATATATCGATATTAGTATCAAATTAACTATTTAAAGTTCTGATTTTTTGTGTAATTTATTTAAATCAGTATTTTATTTATGATAATTTATATTAATAACGAAGTAATTTATTTATTATTTAGTAATATAATTTTTATAAAGATAATACTTAATTATTTTGTTATAACTAATGACTATCATAATTATATTTTAGATTTTTTATTTTCAAAATCAGATGTTTATCCCGTATTTGATTATGTTTATTTATAGTTAGTCACACAAATTCAAAAATGAATATAAGTTGTATTTATGCATAATTATTTGTAATCTTGAATTTAAAGTAATATGCATCAATAAACAGTACTGTATGCATAAAAATGGTTTTAAGAGTTTTTGTCAAATGTTTTATAATATAATATAAATAACTGTGATTGAAATTTTAAAAAATGGGTTTAAAAAATTGAAAAAAAATATCAATATGAATATCAAAGTAAAAAGTATTTTTCACTTTGACTAAAATTTAATTACAACATAATTTAGAATTTTTTATAAATAGAATAGACTCACTCAAGCATCCTAATATATTTTCTATAATTTCTCTGAAATAGAAACTCAAAAGTCAAAATCTAAGGAGAAATAAAGATCCTTATAGGTGCGTTTGGTACGCAGACAGGACAGGACATGGTGGGACAGGACAGGACAGGACATCTGTTCAGCGTTTGGTAAGACATGATAGGACTGGACAGAACTGGTTAAAATGACCAATTTACCCCCAGTGAGTCAATCCTAGAATTCTAACCACCATGATCAAATTAATCTACCATACTTCCAAACCCACTTGAGAAGACGACATCAGATTCTAAACCCGAGTGTAAGCAACTTCCATTCTTCAAATCTCAAATTTCTCATGAAATTTAACTAGATTTAATTTATGGAATTGGGGTTTTTGTTCATTTGTTTTTGATGTTTGGTTATGGATTCAGCCGATTTAGCATTACAACCAGTCGATTAAACAGCTGATTCAAGCAAAAAAACCCTAAATCGATTCAAACATAGCAACCCCAAATAGCGATTCAGATATAACAAACCCTAAATCGTTCCAAACATAGCAAACAGAGGGCAATCGTGTACCTGATGAAGGAGAAGGTAGGGTGCGATGGAAAGGAACCGTCGGACTGCCGTCGCCGTCACCGGTCGCCAGTCGAGTAGAAACATCAGTCGATATTGTCAAAGGAGAAGGTAGGGTGCGATGGAAAGGAACCGTCGGACTGCCGTCGCCGTCACCGGTCGCCGGTCGAGTAGAAACAGCAGTCGATACTGTCGAGTAGAGGAGAAACAACCGATGGAAAGGAACTCGTCGAGTAGAAACAGCAGTCGCCGTCACCGGTCGCCGGTTGAGCGGTGGAAGCGATGGAGGAGAGGAGAGACCGATTGATGAAGGAGACGGTGGAAGCGATGGAGGCAACGCTGTGAAGGGGAAGAAGGGACAGTATGCATATGAGGTTTTTAAGGGTAAAGTGGTAAAAAAATTTCTTGTTCTACTTAGTTCCAGGGGTAAAAGGTGGACTACCGTGTCCCACCCTTGTTCTAGTTAGTCCCACATAAAACCACACCAAACATAGTACAATTGTGTTATGTCCTGTCCTGTCTCACCCTGTTTAACGCACCAAACACACCCTATATAATCATAGAGGTTCAAATACGACGATTCCATGCTACCCACAAAACAGGTCATCGCGCTGATATTAATCGACTAGCATAACGGGTTGGACATCCAAGTTAATAAAAAAAAATCAAAATCTTAAAAAAGAATTATATTTTACTCTTTCTATAATTTAAAGATTTTAACATTTATTAAATTATTAAAATATCTTATAACTTTATCACCTCTATACATTTTTTAAACGAATTTATAAAAAATAATAACAATTCAATCCCATTGATGGGAATAAATATAAAATTAACCACAAGGATGGTACATAATTGTTATTTTGGCTCCGAAAATAAAAAATGTCGGGAGGTCCCAGGTTCAAATCCAAAGAGAAATAATTGTTTGGTAATTGTTTACAATGAAATTAGGGCGTTGAATGGTTAAAAGAGACCTAGAAGGCTAAAATATAAAATCATTCAGAGAGTTTTAGAACCATTAAAAGACATACTTCTTTTTTGCTAAACAATATTTCACCTCTTAACGATTCAGATGCTGCCTCTTAATAAAACTTTTAAGAGGTAAACAAACAACACCTTTAACACCCACAGCTAAAAAAGTGTTCAAGCATTTGAAATTGTCAACATGAGGACAACTATTCGAAGTGTAAGAAACGAGTATAAAAGGCTTCAAACAGTTAAAAGTTTGTTATTATCGAGTCTCTCGAGTATATAACGTCCTCGATTGCAGCGAAAGAAACGCGAAAATATTTACACACTCCTAACATGACTAGCTCGTTATTGAACAGAACATACCGGTCGCCATAACCCCGGCTTACAGTTCACCACCCGTTTCTAGTAGCCACCCTGGATGAATGCATTCAAACGGTCGAGCTCCTCCCTGTGTTCACTCACCACAGCTCGAACCACGTCTCCAATGGAAACCATCCCCAGCATTTCCTTGTCGTCGATCACCGGAATGTGTCTGATACGATTGTCTGCGAAACCGGAAGAAACAAACGAATGTAACTAAAAGCACATCACATTCTATAACATCCATCAAATGCAAAGTTTTTTTTAACCGTGAGTGTACCCGGACCAGCTTACGCACACCACAACTAAACCATGAGACACGGTTTATAAGGAGAGACTTAAACTGGCAACTTATGGGGAGGATCCCCGAGTTATTAAGATGTTTAATGGCAAAATGAATTCCGATATACCTGTCATTAGCTGCATTGCTTTCAGAACTTTGGTATCGGGCGTAACAGTGATAAGTTTGTTCTACAACCAAAAACATATGTTAAAATTTGGATGAATTGGAAAACCGAAGCATAAAATCATATTCATACCTCTTCGGTCATGATATCTCCGACCTTGGTTGACTTGGATGATCTTCCTTGGACAATGATTTTTCTGAGATAATCTGGAAAATAGAACCTGTTAACAATTTGTGAAAATACGTGGAACCCAATTTGATTACTCTCCAAAAGAACCCTAGGATAGAAATGAGGTTCCAACATATGTTTCACCTCTTTCTGTGATAATTCCGGCAATGGATGATTGCTCGCCAGGTTTAACCACAACCAAAGCACCAACATTGTGTTGTGTCATCTGCAAACAAATATTTTCATTTGGTCATCATATCAGATAAGAACCACATTTGATGATGTGAAAGTATGTGGAACTGCATTAGATTACTCTCCAAAAGAGCCCTTGAGATGAGCACGAAGGTTCCAACATGCATCGAGAAGAAATGATCCAAGTCTAGTCGAGTTGGGACTTTAACAGAAGAAAAGTGGGATTCGTGAGCTCAATCCAGGAGTTGCTTACTTTTTTTTGGGTTAAACCCCTACATAGGTTAAGATGTTATTCCAAAGGACAGGAGACCGATGGGCTTGAGGGAGGCAAAAATAGAGGGTTCGATTATTTATGGGCATTTTGGGTATCGGTTTGTATGAGATGGCTTAATGGGGACAAATAAGAAGTCCTGTCTGGCTTATTCCATATAAACGTTTTGTCTTAGTGGCTTCACGAATGAGCCGTAAAAACACTCCTATATGGCTGAGCAAGAAGCCGTCTATACCATTAAACTCATTAAGTTGCAAGTAAAAAGCCCCAAGTGGGGATAGAATCATAGAATGTAAAATCTATAAGCTATTCTGTATAAATCGTTTTTTATTATAGACTTCCAATAACTTTCACCGTAGTGTTAAGTTAGATTTGGAGGTTATTAGATCAGTCTGCTGAGAATGGCATACCGATTGGACAGCATCATAGACAGAATCATCAGTGGTGCACCAGAGCCAGGAGCCATCAGCACCTTTTCCTTTTCCTTTCAAGACATCGGAAATCGTGGTGCTTTCGAAACCGTGTTCTTCAATACGAGCAGCTGAAGTTGACTCGAGACGTGTCAATGGTCGCACCAGAGGGTTCACCAACCGCACATGTTGGAGGACTGCATTCTTCACAATGCTTCCATGTGATACAAACGCTCTGAATCCTCCTTGCATATCCTTTAACTATCACAACAAAATACTAAGGGCTTGTTTGTTAGCCAGCTCAATGAGCTTAATGGGACTCACAGTTTATCCGGTCGGTCTAGTATATGTATGACTGATTGGTAGTGGCTTAATGATATAGAAAGTGGTTTAATGATATAGAAAGTGACTTGTTCAATAAGCTTTTTTGGGAGTTTCATGCAGAAAGTCAAGTTTTTTCCAAAACTGCCCAACCAATTAAAAAGAATGTTTATTCCAAAAAGACCCTCCCAAATAAAAGGCTTTATCAATCTATATAGAAAGATTAATACACAAAGACATTTTTATCCATATAGGAATTCATGGAAAACCAACTAAAAGACATCCCCGAAGTCTTTTAGCTAAAAGTCCATCCAATGTCAATGTCAGATTGACCTTAAGATGGAATGAATTAGCTATGGTTTTGACTCATTTTCTTATGGTGTGTTTGGTTTATAGAAAATTTTCCATTCTAATTTATAAAAACAAATAATAAAAATAATTAAATTACCCTTTTATTAATTAATTATTTAACATATTTTAAAACATAATCCAACAAATTTTATCAAACACCAACTACCCCATAGTATTTCTAAATCATATATTTGCAGGATTTCACTGGAATCACTGGATTTCAACTCCGGACTTTCCAATAAACCAAACGAGGGATTGAAATTTCCCGTGTTTGGTTTGAAGGATTTTATTGACTTGAAATCCCAGGATCTTATTGAAATCCGACAAACATAGAATTTTAAAAATCCCACAGGGTGATATTTCACCTGATTTCATATAATTTAGATGTAATAATGTTTTAAAATATGTTAAAAGCATTTGTTTTATAATTAAAAAAAAGTCGTTCAATCATTGAAAAACATTAATAAAAAATTAATTCAATTATAATTGTTCATAATTTGCTTTTTATAAATTTATAAAGAATGAAAATTCAATTTCCATTCATCCTACAAATCAATCACTCCTAGAATTCCAAATCATTCCAATTCCAGATCCAACTGATAAAACCGTTCATTAAACCAAACGAGTTAGGGTTTGAAGAGCTTGTTTGATTCTTTTGAACATGGATCTTTGAGAAATGATGATCACAGATCCATTTCGTTATACCTCAAATCTCTATGGTTTTATTTGATCAGATTAAAGAAGATCGTGTTGAATCTAAACCGAATATCTTCAAAACAACAAGAACAAAAAACTACGGAAATTTGATTACTTAACATCAACATAATACGTAAATATGAATCTTCATAATCCCACAAATTTGTTCATTCCTTTCAATAAAACACATAAATTTGAGCAGGCAAACCCAGTAATCCTTCGAACCAACTAAAACACCAGTTAAACAACATCAAAAGCAGTTATTCTCATTGTTTTCAAAATATCCGATTTGAGGTCTAAGGAATATGGATCTGTAATCATCATTATCTCTTGAGATCTAGTTTACCAAAGAATCAAATAAGCTCTTTAAACCCTAAGATCAATCAAATCAAACCAAATCAAAAACTATAGCTCTAAATCAAGATCGGTAAGGTTATGATGCATTTGCAGAAGATGATAGGAAGGATTTACCTGATTGGAGAAGCTGAAACACACACACACACAAGTAGCACAGAGATTGCTAGAAGAAAGTGGAGGCCACACTTCACAAGCAGAAATGGAGTTGTGTTTAAAGTGAAATCCGAGGAGGCAGCCCAAGGTTTATCCATTTGGTAGTATTTATTTATTGAAAATCCACGGATTTGTTACCCTGCATCTTGTCTACATGCATCTTTCCCTGCACCTGCATCTTTAAATTTTAATTTGCTAGATTTAATTATATTTATTTTAAAAAAATTATTTCTACGTCACTTTTATATACACTTAACGGCTGTTTACCAAACATTTACCAAGATAAGCGTTTACAAAGAAACATTACCTTACCGGATGAATATAATAAGGACCATAAATCTTACCCGATAAAAGCGAGACAAAGATTAAGAGTCTTACCTGGTAAGTAAGGGCAACGACTCTTACCATGGTAAATGCTTACCGGGTAAATTATCGTATACTATGTCGTTTTGATAGACTAAAATCTAACTCGGTAAGTACATAATAGTGTTAAATTTTACCGGTAAGCACTTGTCGGGTAAGTGTTTGATAAACAGCCTCTTATTCTTTTTCACACACATGAATTTGTTAAACTTTCGGTCATAATGATAAAAATAGATGTAGTCCAATGATGAAGGTATGTGAAGGTTTTGTTCTCAGCTTCTCAGTAAAACTCTTATTTTCACCGGAACCCAACTCTTTTGTCCAAAAACAAATGTCCACAATAAAAAAAAGACATACTTTTAAGAATGTATAATTATTGCACTTTTAAATTAATAAAATGACAATTTTACCCTTAATTATAAAGAGAGAAAAAAAATTTATCTTATAGTTAAGAATATAATAAAAAGGTAGACATTTACTTTTAAAAGTGGAATTAATGAGAAGAATTTTATTTTTTATCGATTTTTTCTTTTACCCAATCAAAAAACCATGTGAAACAAAATTTTAAAGTCGAGTTTGAAAGAATAAAAGACAAAAAATCAATAAAATGACAAAAACTCCATCTTATTTAACGGAATTCTTTAACGGCCATTAAGGGGCTGTTTATCAAACGCTTATCTGGGTAAGCGTTTATCAAGTTATACAACCTCACCCAATGAATATGGTAAGAACCAAGAATCTTACCCGGTAAGAGCAAAACAAAGACCAAGAGTCTTATCCGGTAAGTGAGGGCAACGGCTCTTACCATAGTAAGCGCTTACTTGATAAATTATTGCTTACGATATCATTTTGATGGACCAAAAATCTTACCCGGTAAGTAAATAGTATTGTTAAATTTTACCGATAAACACTTATCGGGTAAGTGTTTGGTAAACAACCCCTAAATGGATAAACTAAATCCAGACAATTTTCTAAACCCTGTGTAATTATAAAACTACAAGGATGAAAATTGTTATCTTCGACAAACCACAAGGACCAAATTTGTGGTTCACTCTATATGTGATTAGAATATGTTAAAATTACTTATGTTTTATTGGGTAAACGTTTGATCAACGTCGCCTTTAATAATTACCTTCGAGGGAAGATTCTTAGATATCAAAACAACATCGTATGCAACAATCTTATCAGATAAATGTTTACTGATTAGATTCATCACTCTCACTTATCAAATAAGACTTTCGTTCTTTATCTTACTTCTTACCAAATAAGATTCTCAGCTCTTTACATGTTAATCCAGTAAAATAAGTAACTGAAAGACGTTTTCCTCGTAAACGTCAGATAAGCGGTCATAAATGGTCAACTGTAATTTTATACTATATTTTTTTTAAATGACGATATTTTTTTAAAAAAATTAAATAAAAAAAAGATAAATAAAGGTGAAGAGGACATTTTTGTCATTAAATTAAAAGGGTGGGGTCCACAAAGAGATTATTAAAGGACAGAAAAATCAGGATGATGGGTCATGACGCATCTGGAACATATCTCCATGCCCCTTAAAGAAAGTGAAAGGATACCTGACTGACAGTCACACACTAACACCGACCCGACCCGACCCAGCCTAATTCAAGTTCAAGTTCAAATTATTGTATTAGTATTGTCGTTAAACCTATTTACTCACAGTCTTTTACAATTCAATGTCAATTAAAATATCGTTTTATCTTTTATTTATTAAGGAGGAATAAAAATCTTCTTGTGACCGCGAAGGTTCAAATATGGTGACTCCGAACTACCTACAAAACAGGTGGTTGTCTTAAGATTAGTCGGCTTGCAAGACGGGTTGGATATTCAGGTTAATTAAAAAAAATTATTTTATAAAAATGATACATATATATATATAATTTTTAATTTTATAAAGAATAAACAAAAAGACCAATCCATATTTTAAAACGTAATTCTAATTATATAAAATTTATCATATAATTAAAATTAAATAAACAAGTCACAAAAATAAGTAGGAAATTACAGATGTGAAATACATAAATAATCGTAATTAATTATCTTGACCGATTTTTTGTCATACATGCTCAATCAAATTTTGGTATATTTATTATTTTTAAATTTTTTTTGATAAAATTATTTTTTTTATCAGATAAGTTTTATTAAAAAAAAAATCTAATAATATCCAATGGAAATGTGACATTGAAATGGAGTTGATGAGATTGTAATCTAGATCCTGATCATATTTATTTATTTTTTTCTTTTTTAAAGTTTTTTGTTGTTGGATTTAAATTGTGCTTAAATGTTGTATTCAAGTGTTTCTCCATTTGTAAATTTTGTCTTAAATGCTTTGTAGGTATAAATAGTTTTTCCTTGTAATTTGTAATATTCTAAAAAATTTGAATACGAAAACCTTTGGTGAAAATTCTCTCTAAGATTCATATTTTGTTCTTGATTGTTATTAATCTGATTGAAGATTTGGGATTCACATTTGTCTTTATTTACAATCTCACAATCCAGATCACCATTAGAGATGGTTTTATCACTCTATACCAATTATTGTTTTTATTTGAAAATAATTATATTTTTAATCATTATAATTATTTTTTTTGTTTTTTTCTATATAACTAACGACCGTTAGTGAGTCCGTTAATACTGGGACATTTTGATCCTTTTATCAACTTTCTTTATTTTAATTTAAGAATAAGATATATATTATTATTAATATATGATATAAGCATTAATATTACATATATATATATATATATATATATATATATATATTTGTATGTAACTGAATAAATTGTAATAATTTAGAGAATTTGTGCATCATTTGTTATTTTATATGATTATTTTTTCATATAAAACTAGAATTTAGAATATTGATTAACATATATTTGTTTTACAATGTGTTGTTTCACATATACTTGGTTCACAATGTGAATTTTTTTTGGTGTGATTGTGAAACATAAAATACACGTAAAAAAGTTTCACAATGTGAAATGAATATAGGAAACAATGACATTTTTACATGAAAACAAAAATATATGAAACAATTTCATCAAAAAAAAAAATATATGCCAGAATTTCATCAGATTAAATAATTTCGTGAAACAATTTCATTAAATTAAACAATGAAATCAATGGATGAGGATGGTTTATATGGTATACAAATGACTTGGTTTGTAAAGTAAACCACTCTATATATATGATCTGCAGTCTTATTAAAACTGTCTATTGAGGAGTATGTCGTTTGTTTATGAATACATTTTTAATAATAAAAAGATTTCGTTTAGAGCATTTCCAACAATTATGTTATTTAAAAGTTTCAGATATTTAAGAAAGTATGCTCCAACAGCTATGCTAAAAGCATCTACAACAACTATATTATTCCAGAAATTTTAAAACTTTAGGAAAAATTTGCTCCAACAGTTATGATAAAATCGCATTTAAAATAGAGAAAAAGGGTGATACGATCAGAAAATCTCAAAAAAAATCGCAGATGCTCTTTAAATCTCTTCTAAAAAAAGAGAATGAAAAAATCTTTAAATTTGAAATAAGAAAGAAAATATAACAGATCCATTTGGAAAAGGTCGTCCGTAATAAAAAAAAAATTAAAATAAATATATTTATATTATATAAAAACTAGAAGGGTATTCGCGTAATGCAATAAGATAAATCTCCATCTTAATGTTTAATTTTTGAATGTTTTGAGAAAACGATAATGTTTTTATTTTTGAATGAAATATAAATTTGAAGATAACATAAAAAATTTTAAAAAAATCGATATTAGTATTAAATTCACTATTATAATTAAAAATCGTTTTGCTTTAATTCAAATTTTTATTATAATTTAATTTAGGTATAATAACAAAGTAATTTATTTTTGGTTTGATTATATAATTTTTATCAAAGATAATAATTAAACATTCGGTTAGAAACTCGATAATTATCTTAATTATATTTTAGATTTTTTATTTTTCAAAATGAGATGTTTATCCTCTATTTGATTATGTTTATCCGTAGTTAATTACACGAATTTAAACAATGAGTTTTAAAAAGTTGTATTTAATGCATAATTTACTTGTAATTTTGAATTTTAAGTAATATGCATCAATATACAGTACTTTATGTTTAAAAAATGATTTTTAAAAATTTTTATCAAATATTTTATAATATAGTATAGATATAAAATAAATATATATTTTTATTTTCTATATAAAATTGATATAATTTATTTTAAGATAATAAAAGAAAAGAAAAGAAAATGGAAAGAGACTTGTGAAAGAGGGCTGTTTCGTAGGTCACTAACGTCTCCATCTTCTCTAATCTCCACCCAATGGATTCCTCGTTCGCCTTTAATAATTCATTAATTTTCTTTTAAATAATATTTATTTTATTTTTATATTATTTTTTTAAAATTATTATTGTAGTTTAAATATCGTGTTTAAAAGCCGCCATCCTAGTTGCAAAAGAAACCAATATTAAATACTCGTATAAAACCCCTCAAACAATTTGTATGTTATATTCATGACATGTGTCACCTACATATACTGTTAACGAATCATGTAAATCTAAAGGGTCGCACACAAAGAACACGTATGTTTCCACTAAAGAAAGAATCTAAACATGTATACCGTTTTGTAATTATTATAATTACGGAGTTTAATCTATAAATATGTATGTAATTATCTTAAATGTTTTTAGATAATTATATAAGATATTATTAGATGAATAAATAATCATTTTAGATAATGATTAAACCTTATCAAGAGTTATGGTCAATCTCGAAGACTGACCATATAAATAAGGCTTAGGGGCTAAACCAAAGCATTGGAAAGAGTTCTGATAACTAGTTGTAGCCTCAAAACCCTTATTCCGTTGACAAAATCATTTAACTGAAATCTCATTCGATTCGAATGAGTTATTCGGTTTCGGTTGTTTTAGACACCCCTAGCCGATGAGCGCCTCTAGGGTGCTAAAAACCTGACCAACCCAATCAACTCAACCTAATGCAACACAAAATAACTCAACTCAAAGCAGTTCAATGTCTAATCGAGTTATAAAATCTTTGGTATGTTGGACTTGGAATGAATTTGAATTCCATTCTTTTTAAATAATTAAATTATTAATTTATTATTGCAAAACAAATGTTTTAAACAAACAAATTATGTGGAATCCCGTGAAATACCAACCATCTCCGTCGGATTTCAAAATCATATGTTTTGTGGGATTTCAAATGAAATTCCAAATCCAATCCAACAAACCAAACGGAACCGAACCTAATGGTAGAAACAAGGACATTAACATATGCAGCAGACGTCACGACGCTAAGCGACGTTTGAGCGACACTCGTTAACTTATGCCAAAGAAATGTATCGTCAATTTTGCATTATGATGCATTCTACAGCGATTGAATTACATATCCAAGCTGCAAATTTCGACATCTATGTATTATGCTCTAAACACTGTCATTGCAGCTGGAATTGCCGCCACAAATAATGCTGTGCGAAAGAAGTACAAAACTGACTCTTTTGATATTTGTCCATCATGATTTTTTGAAAAAAAAATCATACCTCGGGTACGACAAGTGATGTCACTAAAAAATACGAGCGTAAATCCTAGGTTTTGCATCTGGGTTCGATCTATTCTCCAACTGTCAACCCGAATCCAAACTTGTAGTCTTTCTTTTTGTGGTCTATCTGCATAACATAATCCAGGAAACAAACCATCAACGACGATGCAAATAGTTGAGTAAAACGTTCACAAATATGACGCTTTTGTTGTCACAAAGAAAAGTTCATAATCGACTTTAGAAGTTTGAAACCAGTGTTCTCGGGACTCGAATTTGATATATATCGTTTTAAGTGCCGTTTACCTGTAAGAGTTATCACCCTCATTTACCTTACCGGGTAAGATTCTCAGTAGTTGGTATGCCTCTTACGGGTAAGATTCTTGATCCTTGTGATGCTCACCAGTAAGATAAGTGGCGTCTGGTAAGCGCTTACCCCGTAAGAGTTCGGTAAACGGCCCCTTAGTTGTTGGAAACAATAATCAGATATAGGTTATGTTTTAAAAACTACATTGTTGGCTAATAAACTAGCTGATAGTCGGTAAGCTAGTCATGTTTGGTAAAAACTAGTTGATAAGCTAAATGACAATGTAAAATGACCATAAAGGACATGTTATAAAATTAATTGGAAATAAACGAAGGGGTATAATTGGAAAAAAAGGTGAAAAAGGGCCCTCGGATCTTATTGAAACGCTACTTCAATAAGCTAGATGAAAGGAGATTTTTCAATAAGTACTTGATTTCTTAGCGGTCATGGTCATCATTAAAAAAAGAACCAACGAAGAATGATCTGATTCCGAAAGATTACCCTATTTGGTCGTTATTAAGGGTATTTAAGTCAAATGTAACATTTTATTAATAGTCAAATGTAACATTTTATTAATAGTCAAATGTAACATTTTTTTAGGGATAGAGGGAAACATGATATGAAAACCCCAAATGCTTTCTCCAGTCCAACTTATAGCTTAGCAAACAAAGCGATACGTAAACATCAATAAGAGATTTTAAGCAGATTGAAAAAATGTATGTACCTCGGCTGATAGAAGGAAATTTAGACCCATATTCAACCTTTCTTCGAGAAAAGCAGATGTACAGCCATTTGAGTCAATCTTCCCTCTAAGCCGACACTGTCGATGTGGAAACAAGTTGATGATAGGACAATTAATTTCATGATCTTTACCAACAAGTCAAACTGAAAAATACAATAACGTGTTAAGAATCCACATCAGTTAGACTTGGAACATTTCTCCTCGATATATGTTGGAATCTCCCTTATCTCCTCGGGGGGCTCTTTTGGAGAGTAGTCTAACAGGGCTTGCACACTCTCACTGTCTCGCACAACGTAAAACTGAAAACAGAGATGAAGGCAGGTGGTTGAGCGAACCACTGCCGCATAACAGCCATAATGTTATTTGCACTAGCCCTAATCTGAAATGCCTGAGTCGTCTTTTTATCTAATTTTGGTCGAGATTTTTAAAACCCTAAGGGCCTGTTTGTTAGCAGCTTAATGGACTCGCAGCTTATTCGGTCAACTATACATGACTGTTTGGTAGTTGCTTAATGATATAGAAAGTGGCTTATTCAGTAAGCTTCTAGGGGAGCTTTATACAGAAAGCCAAGTTTTTCCTAACCTATTCCTCCGATTAAAAAACACACTTCTTCCATCTATGAAAAACCCTCCCAAACAAAAACCTTCCCAATCTATACAAACATATTAATCCACATACATAGGCGGACCTGTAGAGGTGGCATGGGTGGCACGTGCCACCGTATTATTTCGTCACCGAAGGGTAAAAAATTTAGGTTTGTTAACGGTGCTACTATATCGTTTTAGAAGGTGCTACCGTATTTCCCTGAAATCCAAATGGTGCAACTAAAACCCAAACAAAACAAAACCCAAATAACCAAAACCATACTTTTTGTAATTATTTTTGGGTATATATTGACCGTTTTCAAAAGATGAAGACGCATCGGGTACAAGTTTAGGAGTTGTTTATCGGTACTTAGGGTTGTAAATGAACCGAACGAACGAACACGAACAGAGGTTTGTTCATGTTCGTTCGTTTAACTTAATTGAATAAACGAACGAACAAGAACGGTAAACGAACGAAAATMTGTGTTCGTGTTCRTTCGTTTAGAAATAAGGTGTGTTCGTGTTCGTTTATGTTCGTTCGTAAACATGCTAAACGAACGTAAAYGAACGGAAATCTTTGTATTCGTGTTCGTTCGTTTAGAAATAAGGTGTGTTCGTGTTCGTTCGTTTAGAAATAAGGTGTGTTCGTGTTCGTTTATGTTCGTTCATAAACATGCTAAACGAACGTAAACGAACGAAAATCTTTGTG